CGGGGAGGTGCCGCTGCCGGCGCCCCGGGGGCTGCGGAGCCTGCTGCTGCTGCTGCTGCTGCTGCTGCTGAGCGCCCGCGCCGCGCTGGTGAGTGCGGGGACACCGGGGGGCACCGGCGGGGGCACGGCCCGGGGGGCACCGGCACCGAGCGGGGGGAGAGGGCAGCGATCGGCATCGGCACCGGGAGGGGGCGGCGGGGAGCGGGGCGGGGCGGGGGGCACCGGGAGGGGGCAGCGGGGACACCGGCCCCGAGGATGAGCTGCCGTGGGCAGGGCGGTGGGACCGGCCCCGGTACCGTGCTTGGATCGGTACCGCGGGGCCGGGTCTGAGGCACCGTGCCTGGATCGGTACCGTGCCCGGATCGGTACCGCGGGGCTCTGTGGGGCACCGTGCCTGGATCGGTACCGTGCCTGGATCGGTACCGCGGGGCTCTGTGGGGCACCGTGCCTGGATCGGTACCGTGCCCGGATCGGTACCGTGCCCGGATCGGTACCGTGCCCGGATCGGTACCGCGGGGCCGGGGCTCCGTGGGGCACCGTGCACCGTCCCGGTTCCGCGCGTGGATCGCAGAGGGCGGGGGCACCCGCAGCGGGCCGGGGGCGTGGGGCCGGTGGGTACCGAGGGGGCACCGGCACCGTGCGGGCTCTGGCAGCGGCAGCCGGCTGGGGGGCGGCGCCCCCGGGGACCGGGACCCGGCTTGCGGGGGCTCCGGGACCGCCGTGGGGCCGCCCAGCTCCCGGGGGGCTCCGGGACCCGCAGCCTGCCCCGCTCCGGCCCCTCCGCCACCGCAGAGCCCCCCCGAGCCCGGCAGGGGCGGCCCCCGGGGCTGTCCCCTCCCCTGCGACCCCCCGGGCGGTGCCGGGCAGGGTGGCGGCCGTGGGGAGGGGGCTGCGGGCAGCTGCCGTTTGAAGGTCGTAGGGAAACACGCCTTAAAAATCGCCCGGAGGGGCGGAGAGGGAGGAACCCACCCTGCTGCTGCTCGGGGGCAGCAGAAACTTGCCCCCCATCCTTCCCCTCTGCCTCGCCCTCCCCGATCCCCCTCCCCTCCCGCATCCCCAGCCTCCGGTGGGGCGGGGGGCGGCAGATGCAGCCCGGGCTGTGCGGGCAGCGCCCGCTTTTCCCTTTCCATGTGGCTGCAGAAGGGGCTGGGAGCCCTGGCGGCAGTTCCAAAACTGCTGCTCCCCATGGCCGGCTCCACCCGGGAGAGGCTCCACGGGATCCTGGGGTGCCGGGGGAGGCTCCACGGGGTCCCGGGAGCCCCCTGCCCTGCCCCGGCCGGGCGCTGCAGTTTCGGGGCATTGGCGCTGCTTTTCGGGAGATGCTCTCGGGAAGGAGCCGGAGGATGCTTTTCCCTCCCAGCCCGGAGCAACGGGAGAGGCTGGTGGGGAGGAAGACTGCTCCTCCTCCTCCTCGGGCAGTTTATTCAGGCCGATATTCCGTGTGCCAGGGCTCCAGGGGAGTCTCTGCTCCATCCCCGGGTGCGGAGGGCTGAGCGTGGCTGTGCCGGTGTCCCCAGCGCCCTGGGGCTGCTCAAACTCCCCTGATGAGCTTTTCCCCTTCCCCTCTGGGGGAATTGGAGTTGTTGGTTACTGGCTGAGGTTGTCGGCATTTTCTGAGCGGATTGAGGCCGTTTAGGACAGGCTGTGGGGTTGTTCAGCGCCGGGCTGGAGGTGATGGGATGTGGGATGCTCCCGAGGGCTGGAGGAGCTGCTGCCTCCACCGGGATGGGATCAAGGCCTCTCCCTCTCTCTTCCCTGGAGCTTTTCAATCCTTCCTTCTCCTTGGGCAGACTCAGCTCCTCCCTTGGGTCCCCGGGAGGGAAGCAGGGACCTGCCACAGCTCTGGCACATCCAGGGTGGTGGGATGGGGATGGATTTGGGGATCCCCCAGTGCCGGATCCTGGGCCCTGCCTTGGAGCCTTTCCCTGGAGCAGCACCTGGAGCGCTCCTGGCTGCTCTGAGGAGCCGGGATGGCAACTCCAGCCCCGCTGGCACCGCGGCCGTGAGCTCCTGGGATGTGTCCCTGTGACCATCCTGGGGATAGGGACAGGGACAGGGATGGGACAGGGACAGGGATGGGACAGGGACAGGGA